GGCTTAGGGCTTATAAGGTTCAGGGTTGAGGGCTCAGGGTTTGCATCTGGAAGCGTGGCGCATCGACCCGAGAGGTCGTGGGCGGCGCGTCGCGCTAAAGCTAATATCCCACCCAGAGAACACCCAGTCCGTACTCTTGTAGGGTTTGGGGTTTTTGATGGTGGCTTGGGTCTTCTTTTGTTTTGGGCTCTCATTGCACGGTATATCTGTGGGGGATGCTAGCGGCAGCCGCCGCAGTTTTTTAGTGATCCTTTTTGCGCACGGGACCACGTCGCCTTCGCTCACTGCCGCCATGCTACTTTTTGCGCTCGCTGCCGCTGTGCTGTGAGGCAGAGGTATTTGCAAATGAGTTTTGCGCACAGGCTGCGGCGCCTTCGCTCGCTGCCGCTGCGCTCTAAAGCGCCGCTTTGGTTTTTGGTGAATTTTTTTTTGCGCACGGGGCCGTGGCGTTTTCGCTCGCTGCCGCTGCACTTTACGACGCCGCCTGGTTTTAAGTGATCTTTCTTGTGCGCGGGGCTGTGGCGGATTTGCTTGCTGTCGCGCTAAGACGCCGCCAAAGGGGAGGTCCTGGGAGCCCCCTGCAAGACCCATGAAACGCCCCTTTTGGTAAACCCAACCAGTTGCCTGAATTAGAAAATTTGGCCCAGAACCCTAAATCTTAAACCCACTGGCCTGGAACCCGAAATCCTAAACCCAAAGAGCCGGGAGCCCCAAATCCTAAACACTAAAGGCTTTGAACCTTAAATCCAAAACCCTAGAGGCCTGGAACCCTGAATCCTAAAGGCTTGGAACCCTAAATCTTAAACCCTACAGGCCTGGAACAATAAATCCTTAACCCTAAGGCTTGGAACTCTAAATCGCAAAGGCTTGGAACCCTAAATCCTAAACCCTAGAGGCTTGGAACAATAAATCCTAAACAGTAAAAGGCTTGGAACCCTGAATCCTAAACCCTAAATGCCTGGAACCCTAAATCCTAAACCCTAAGGCCCGGAACCCTAAATCCTAAATCCGAAAGGTCTGGAACCTTAAATCTTAAACTCTAAAGGCCCGGAACCCCAAATTCCTAAACCCTAAAGGCTCGGAACCCCGGAACCTTAAACCTAAATCCCAAATCCTACACCCTAAATTCTAAATTCTAAGCCCTAAATCCCAAATCCTAAGCCCGAAATCCTAAACATTAAAACCGAAACCCTAAATCCGAAACCCTAAACCCTGAATCCTAAATCCTAAACCCAAATCCTAAACCCTAAACCCTGAATCCTAAATCCTACGCCCTAAATCCTAAACCTAGATCCTAAATCCTAAACTCTAAATGGCCCCAGGAGGTTCCTGAAATCCTTTGGAAGGCCCCTAAAAAGGCCCTTGAAAGGCCCCGTGAAAGGTTCTTGGGATGCTCCTGAAAAGGCCCCTAAACCCTGGATTTAGGATTTAGGATTTAGGATTAGGGTTTAGGATTTAGGATTTAGGGTTCGGACCTCCCAGGTTCAGGGTTTAGGGTTTCTGAATCCAAAACTTCACCCATTTTTGACAACAAACGACCCTTTTTCGGGGAGAATCCTCTGCGCAATTTTCGGATTTGTGCCCAATCTCCAGTCGCTAAAAGATCCTCCAACCACCTTGCTCGGTCATCATTGACACTGCGTTTGATATCAACAGTCAGCTTCCTTTTTAGATTGAAATTGCCATACTGTCGTGCTTCATGCCTGCGAGCAATGATTTGTAAGGTCGCATTGCTGATCCAAGGACGTTGGGGTTTACACTTCAGACTCGGCAAGCAAGTGTGAGCAACGTCATGAAAAGCTGCGGTCATGAAATTGCACAAATCATTGGCAACTATAGAACCATCGTCCACAGATCCCATTCGGTGTTGCATGTGTTCATCCAGTAAAACTGCAAACTTGTTGGCCACTTCCACGGTTCCCAGAGCAGTAAAATCAAGCTTCTTCGAGGGAGCGTCATGTCGCACCGCATGACCAATTTGGACTTGCAAGGCTACAGCGACAAGGAAATGATGCGATGCCAACGGGATTTGCAAGTGTGAACGAACATCAGTTACCACGTCCAAATCGTCGTATGCAATCATCATCAAATCCAGCTGGACAAAATTTTTGAAGTTAACCTCACTGCTCGGGTTGGCGCCCACGTTGTAATAAGTAGCCTGCTCCTCAGCCAAACGCTCGAAAAACGTGCTTGCAACAGCCAAGTTATTGCTTTCACAGAACTCAACCAGGAAGCTGCGATTTGAATTTGCATCTACCTGGGCATCCGGATTCCCAAACACGAAAGGTCCAATGAAAGGTGGATCCGCTTCAAAGCGCCTATGCAAACGTGCGTTGAAATCCCCAAGGAAGCAAAGGGGTCCATGCCTCGAACGGCTTGTGAGCCATGAGGACATGTTGTGGAAAAAGGACCGTCTCTCTTCAACAGACTTCTCATTATGGGGGGCGTAAATACTGCACACCGTCATCTTTCCCCCAGGCACACGAATTTTCAACGAAGCCATACGTGAGGAAGCCTGACAAAAACTGACAACTGATCGGCGCATAGACGGGGCAATTATGAAACCCACCCCTGCCGTCTCCGCATCTTCGGTTTCCGACTGGCCCGAATTTATGAGGAGGAAACCAGCATCAGTGATGAAGTAGGCTGACGACAACCAGTGCGTTTCCTGAAGGCACAAAATTGTAATGCTGTTGCGCAGCATGTAATGCTGGAGCTCAACGACTTTTTGCATCGGTAAGGCCCTCAACATTCCACGTTCCCAACAGAAGACTGTCGCTGCAAACCTGGAGCCGACCACCGCGAAAATGATGTGGTGAATTCGGACGACAACCCGCATTGTCATCGAATGGAATGCTTGCATGTGTTTTGAAAAATGCCAGTGAAACGCTTGTCATGCCCATGTGTCCGAGTCCCTACTCTTGGCCAGCGGTTTTTCCGTTTGCCTTGAAGCTGCCTTTCATACCCTTGCCTGCTCTAGCAACAAGCTCCTCGGATTTGCACATGAGCGCTTTGAGCTCCGGGCTGTTGTGCAAATAGTTCCAAGTGGCCCACTCTCCGTGCCATTCACATGTGACACCGCCTTGCATCACATGGGCCGTAAGGGCCAGCTCCCCGCCTACGCACACAGAGTACGCAACACCATCCATGACATGCGCAACATATGGAATGCCCCAAACATTTTTGAACAGGTTCTTCAATCCAAAGCAGAAATTGCGAGCAGCTCGTTCCACTGGTGGTCTGTCTTGTGTGGCCCAAACCTTGTGTCCCCCTTGGTTGATGCCAGCACTACGCAACAGTGCAACCGCCAAATCGCGATCCTCGTGCGAAGAAAAATCGGCAAATATTGTGCCTTGGAACCCACCCTTGTCATAGATGCTTTCTGGGGCTGGAGCGTCCAACGCAGACAACTTCTCTGTCAGCCAAGATTGTGCGTGCGATAAGCTCTCAAGGCCCTGGAGGTTGTCGATGACGGCAGTCAAACATCTTTTGTCTGCCATCAGAGTGCCAGCCTCCTGACGTTCCTTCTGCAAATGCCGCATTTGAAGTTCAACCTCCTTCTTCATGTTGTCAGGGATCTCTTGGGAAGCACAACTGCAATTGTTGGCAAAGCTCCTCGAGCTTATTGACACGAACTTCGGTGCCCCCAATGTGGACCTCCATACGCTGAAGCCGATCGTCCACTGTTGATTTAAAGTCGCTGAATCTGGCATCAAGGTCCCGGAAGTTTCGTGTCAACTCATCCATTGAGGATTTCATTGGCTGAATCTCTTGCCGCAGCAGTGAGGCAATCCCTCTCATGGACACTTTATCTGGTACCTTTGGTGAATTAAAATCGACATCTTCGTCTTCTGCTGGCATGGGCGCGTACCCCCTGGGGATGGGCGCAGCTTTGGGCAACAGGGGTGTTGAAGCGTTTGCCGACTCGAGGTCCAAGCGCTGTCGTTTGGCATCCTCCATTTTCTGCCATGGGTTTTTTGGGAACGGTGAACGATCATGCTTTTTGGCCTCATCATGCTCAGGGGTCATGGCAGCCATGGCACAGATCTACCCGTGCAGAGCTGGAATGTCCTCTCGAATGGAGGGGCCAGATGCACCTTCACCGTCAACTAAAGCAAGGCGGCTTGAGTCTTGAGCTTGGCTTGAGCCCGTAAAACAAAAATTATCACAAGCCACCCAATACAGGTTTTCAGGGGTACAAAGGGTGGCTTGAGCCAGAAGAGGAGCGAAGAGGAAGCCGGAGGCCAAAACATGGATTGAAATAGGAAGGGGGCGCACGGCAAGGGCAGCACCCGTTATATATCGACCGGAAGCAGCGCAGGAGCATCCTGGTCAAGAGGCCCGGCCCTAGCTGCGCGAAGGAAAGGGCACTTGCAATGGCCGGGCTGGCGCGACCGGGTCGCAGGGCACAAAAAGGCGCACCAATCTGCCGAGGATGAGTGGATCCAAAACCCGCAAAAGTCTTTTGTTTTCCCCGTAAGTTTTTTTGTGTCACCTCTCCCTTCCATTCGTTCCCGGCTCCCCACCATCCCTGCCCCCCCGCCTTGTCCGCCCCCGGCTACCCTTCCGCCCCAGGGGTCTCCAGGACCTCCAGGGGCCTCCAGGGGTCTCCAAAGGTCTTCCACAGCGTTTCAGAACCTGCAGCGCCCTTGAGATCCAAACCCTCCAAGGGCCTTTACAAGGGGCCTCCAGGGGCCTCCAAGGGCTTCCAGGACGCTCCAGGAGCCTCCAGGGGCCAACGTCTGGGGCGGAAAGAAGGACCACCGGATGATGGCCAGGTGCAATCAAGAAGGTAGAAGGTAGGTTAAGCTCAATTAGCTGGAAGGGGCGGTGGGTTGAGCTGTTTTCAGCTGTGGAAACACCAGACTGCAAGCTGCGAGGCGAGAAGGCAGCTGAAAAAACACGGATGGAAGCTGCAAGGGGAGCGCAGCTAAAGAAACACACAATGCAAACTGCAAGGGCGGGCAGCTGAAGAAACACGCGTGGGAAGCTGGGAAGGGCACGAAATTGAAGAGACGCGCATGGCCAAGCGGCAAGGGGCCCGCAACTGAGCTGAGGCAACACCGGGAGGCAAGAAGCAGCATGGTGCACGCGGCTCAGGAACCACGAAATGGCAAGCTGCAAGGGGCGGGCAACGGAGCTGGGGCAACAACGGGTGGGCAGCTGAGGAAGCAACGAGTGGCAAGCTGCAATGGGCCCGCAGCTGACGAGACGTAAGCTGCAAGGGGGCGGGCAGCTGAGGAACCACGAGATGGCAAACTGCAAAGAGGGGACAGCTGAACTGAGGAAACACGCACGGCAAGCTGCAAGGTGAACACAGCTGGGGAAAGGAAAAATGCAAGGAAAGCTGCAATGGCCGTGCGCCTGGGGAACCAAGGGGCGGGAAACTGAGCCGAGAAAAAGCGCAAATCAAGCTACAAGGTGCGCGCAACGGAGCTGTGGACACCAGGCGAAGCTGCAAGGGGAGCGCTAAAGAAACACGCCTTGCAAGCTGCAGGGGGCGGACAGCGGAGCTGAAAAACACGCGTCGGAAACAGCAACTGACGAGACACGCGTGGCCAAGCTGCAAGCGGCGGGCAGCTTACAAACTCCGGATGGGAAGCTGCCAGGGGAGCGCAGCGGGAAACAAACAGTGGAATGCAAACTGCAAGGGGCGGGCAACTGAGCTGAGGAAACACGCATGGCAGGCTGCAAGGCGCGCGAAGTGGGTGGGCAGCTGAGGAAACAGCGCATGGCAAGTTGCAATGGTACCCAGCGTAAGGGACACCAGGTGGCAAGCTGCAAGGGGCGGGCAGCTGAGCTGAAGAAAAGCTGCAAGGGTGGGCATTTGAGGAAACAGCGCATGGCAAGCTGCGATGAGGGCCAGCTGCAAGGGGCGGGCAGCATGGCAACCTGCAAGGGGCGGACAGCTGCGCCAAGGAAACACGCATGGAAGGCGCTCAACTGAGGAACAGCTGCACGGGCTGGGCCACTGAGGAAACGGCGCAGGGCAAGCTACAATGGTTGCGCAAATCATTGATTTGCACCTTGTGGGGCGTTTGGGGGAGGTCTGCTAGGAGAATGGCTTTGACATTGCCCTTGGCAGATCGCTTGGGAACGCCCGCCCGGGAGCCGATCAGTGCCCGGGCAAATACGGCTGAACAAAGGATTGAGGTCCTGCGCTGCCAGTGTGAGTGGTGATGGGGGCCAGCTCACAAACGAGGTCCCCACACTAGATCAAAAAAAAAACCTGGCACAGGTCCAGCCCTGAGAGACTTGGTCGACCTCTGCGAAGCACACGTCGCACTTGACATCACGTGAGTGTCTAAGCAAAATAGAGCAAAATCCAAAAGGGTTTTCGCTACAAACAGGGCGTGGCCAGCAAAGCAGGAAAGCACATAACAGTGCAAGTAAGGGAAGGAAGATGAAGGGCGCTCTCACACTGCAGCGGACGGGAAGGAGAGGGCGAGGGCGCCAGGGGGGCAGATTGGGCGGGAAGGATGCCCTTAATGCCGCCCCGGAGGGTCCCCGCGGCAGTCCAAAAGAAATTCGCCATCCAATAGACAAACTGCTGCAAACCCCAGTGAACATTCGTGGGTTTTGCTAAATGACGATCCTTCCACTGACCTTTTCGTTGTGTGGGCGGCAAAACTTGCAAGCGACCGTGCCCCATGAGATGTTTTCTGCCGCTTCGTTGCCCGCACGCAATACGTGCTCAGAATGCAGCCTGGCCCAAAAGCCCGCGTCATGCGTGCCGCCGAGCAAGGCCCACCCCTGCAAGGACGTGCTCCAGAGAGCGGTCGGGGCATTTTTGCAGGAATAACGGCTGGGGCCGAGGGGCAGCGGATGGCGCAAGCGGCAACGCAGGAAAACGCGCAAGAGCAGCTGGGCACGGTGAGCCCGTCGAGGGTTGCAGAAACCGTGACCACTCCTGCTGTGGTAGCAGCCTCGCCCATCCCCGCCCGAGACGCAGAAAACAAAAAATGATAAAGGTGCGTCTGCAGCACGCGCTCGTCACCAGCACGGGCTGCTTGGCGCTGCCAGCCGCACAAAAAATCCCCCAGGCCCCCCTCCTGGCTGACGTGGTCGGTGTTCCTTTTGTTGCTTATTTGCTGAAATATGGCGATGGCAACAAGCATGTATGTTTTGGACGCATTCCGTCGTTGAACCATTTCTGCAAACCGCTGTTCATCCATCAGCGTGCTTTGGTCATGAAATTCTTTTTGGTGCATGGACCGGAAATTGAAGCGTTGTCCATCTTGTCTGCTCCACTGGGCTACACGATGGCAGACGTTGTTTTCCAAAAGGTGTTCCGGGTGTCCAAGGCCAACTTGCCTGGCACAGTGCAATCAACACGAAGGTGGTACAAGCTGCGTCTTGGTGTGCGCAGCTGTTGAATTTTCGTCACAATCATTGAGCTGCAAAGCCCGCGCATCCGCGATCCCGGCTGGTGTCGATTAAGGTTGAACTGTCAGTAGCTGGCGCGGAGGCCTGGGCGATGTGGGCATCATGCTTGTGCAGATGACCATCTCAGCTCGTCATGGCCATGTTCGTGCCGATGTGCCATGCAGCATGTGTGCACAGATGAAATCACGTGAGGACCATAGTTTCATCGATCGCTCTGCACATGGCCACTCACACCAACACGGGCCCGGTCAATTTACCCTGTGCGCCCAACAGCGGCTTGAGCGCAGGGGGAAAAACTTAGAAGCGACCGAACTGAGTAAAGCAGGGGTCCGTGTTATTGGGCTCTGCGTACATGCAAATTCAAATGAATAACGTGACCACAAACCAGGGCTATGGGCCATCGACGCGCAAGCGTCCTAGCAACCAGCCCGGGCGGCCCGCGCGTGCCAAATTGTAATCGGCTCGTTCATGCCAATTTTGCGAAATTTCGTGCCAGGGATCTTCCCCATCTGTGTACGATGATGGGCCCACGATCTGACATCCACGGAGCCTAGATCCCTCGATGCAAAAACACCATGTCGGGCAACAAAATTAGGGAGACTGGCATCAAAATAACGCAGCGATGGTGAACGGAAACGTTTTTATCGCACAACATGTGCTGATTTGCAAAATGTGCCTTGGATGCTGCACGTGAAGGAATGTCGACATCCCAAACCTGCAAAGGGACATCCCAGTCACTCGTGCAGGCTCATGCCCAACAGCGCCTCCACGTTCAAGCCAGCACGCGTCGTCAACGAGGAACGCACTGAGACTTCAGTCGGAATTTTCGTTCTCGCCACGCAGTGCGCAAATTAACAACGGGATGCCGGAGAATCTTGGGCTTCCAGATGTTGTCATGACATCCCCAAAAAGTCAGATTGAAAGTGACACCTTTCATACATCAACACAAACAAGCGCAACCAAACACAAAATACACTTGTGTGATTGTGCAACGCTTGATTCGTATCAGGCTGTTCTACAACGTTTTCGCATGCATGATTGTGGGCCGCATTGAGAGCTGCTTGGAACATGCACAGCCTGAAGAACAGCATGGTTTCCGGCAAGGCCGGCGGTTGGAAACACTAGGTAACAGCGCACGTTGTTTTGATTGAAACCTTGGCCGCCGGGTTGCCCATCTGGGTGATCAGCGCCGATTTTTTCAAAGCCCCCCCACCGAGTTTTATGGCCTGTGTTTTGGCAGGGTTTGTTGCAGGCCGTTGTATCAAAACACCCCATCCGGATCATACAACAATTTTATGCTGAGCAGCGAGTCGCAATCAGAGGCGATGATGGCATCATGAGTTCTTGGTATGAGATTTGTGCTCCAGTCGGAAATGGGGGCCCGGGGGGGTAGGACGGAGGGAGCACTTCGGCGCGGCTGGTTTGGACTGGAACGATGGTTTGGTTGGTGTCTTTGCTCGATTTACGGTTGCCCGATGAGGTGCTACATTGCACTTGGATTGGATTGGTCTTGAAACATGTTTCGCAATTGATCTAAGCCGCCGGTGGCGGAAAAAAATCAAAAAATGGTTGCTTGTGAATGCATGGATACCTTACAGCAGTCGGTGGTGGCAAGCAAACCCGAACGCAACCTTCATGTTGAATCCGTGACT